AGACGGTCCCGCGAGAGCTGGGGTCGGAAAGCCCCCGGGGCGAGGACCCCGGGACCGCCCTGGGCGCCGGGCCCGCCCGCGCACCCGGGGCCTTGTCCTCGGGCCGTTGTAATGGAGGGCGAGGGATGCCAGGGAGCGCTGCCCTGCGCGGTGCCGCCCCGAGAGCTGCGCGCTCCTTCCACTGGTCCCTCGACTTGGTGGGTCTGGGAGAGGGAAGGCGCCTCCCAACCGGGTGAGACTGGGCCGGCGAATTCCCCTTCGCGGGAACTCGGGCTGCATTTGCAAGCCCTCCTGCTTCTCTCCGGGTGAATGTATCCAACACAGTTTCTTAAGATAACTAAGCTAGTTTATTAAAGTTTCTCGCACTAGAGTATGAGGTCCTGAAAACTGCAGGTTGGCACCATGTGCAAGTTCATTTTTGACTCGGGACTTTCTGCATTTTGCAGAGACCAGGGACTGGAGAGAGGAGCGAAGGGGAGCCGGTGTTACCCCTTCCGGAACACCGCGTTCGGGTTTATGGTGATGTCCAGTTGCACAATTACTGTACTCATACACCTGTAAAAATAGTTAATAGTTATATCAACAACAAGAGTAGCTGCGGAGGATACTTACCAGCAATCAAACACCTCATGGGATTTGGTTTCTTGGTTTTGGGATTTGGGACCCTGTTTCCTAGTGTATTGGTTTAACAATGTGTTTAGCACTTCTGTACTACCTGCTAGTTACGTGCAAAGTGCCGAGTCTTAAAGTTGCAAGTGCCCACCCAAGGCCCAATAATCGGCCACTGTTGCCTAGAGCAACAGAAAAAAGAGGAAAATCAGAAATAGGAGGCTATGAAATGTGGGGTTAATTTTCTCTGTGAACTCTCTTCCCATGAGACCAGAAGAACTAGATGGTGCCTGGCTACCCTTGCTGAATGACCAACGAATCCTATAAAGAATCTTAGATCAAACATCCTATAAAGAATCTTGATTACAAGAGGGAAACTATAGAGTATAATCTCAAATTTTCATGGACTGACTTCGAGAGCCTTGGAGACTGGATGAACCTCTGAAACCAAAAATATCCATTGACATAGTCTTAAAATGAGACAGTGGTTTAACTTAAGTAATAAAGAATGTCTGACTTGAGCATTGTACTCCTTAAATATATATATGGGGCCAAGTTGACCACAACAACTCCCAAGACTAGATAGGAAGTGTGAGGAAGAACAATTGAGAAGAGGAAGGTGAGGAGCATGGTTGTACAGTAGCAAATGTGTAATCAATGTCACTGAATTGTTCATGTAGAAATTATTGCATTTGTGTATGTTCAGTGTATGAGAGGACTTCAGAAAGTTCGTGGAAAAATTCCATTATCTTTTCATCCCTTTTTTCCATGAACTTTTTTGATGCCCTCTCGGATCATGTGAACAAAAATAAATAAAATTTCTACTTTTATTTACTTTAGCACAAGAGTCAGTGGAGCATTTGCTAAGGGTAAAACAGTAAAGTCAGGTATTTGGTTGTTTGGGAGAGAAATTTCACTTTGTGTTATCTTTTTTTTTTTTGACTTTGTGTTATCTTAATGGTGAATAATGACAATTAAACTAGTTACATACAGATCAGAAGATTGAGGGTCTAGTTTTAAACATTTTGCGTCTAACTAGATGCCTGACTTGTGACAAGTTATGTAATCTGTAAATGGGCAAGCTTACCTTTCAGTCAGCAAATGTTTCTGGAGTGCTTCTGTTATTGATGCTAGGTATTGAGAGCAGGAGGAAGGCGGTAAAGGAGCCTGTGGGAAAGCCATGCACACCCACAGCTAACACCTACCGAGCCCAAACCAAGCTCACCGCCGCGGAGTGGATGTCTAGACTCATAGGGACTCTGCAGGACAGGGTAGAACTGCCCCCTGGGTTTCCGATTCAGTCACGCTGTGCAGACATAGAAAGTCCTGTCTTTCTTCCAAGGAGGGACTCTCGGTTTTAAACTACTGACTTTGCACTTCAGAGCCCAACACATAACTGCTACACCACCAGAGCTCCTTTTGCTAGCACCTGTCACGTGATGAAATAATAACTAGATGCTAAGTGTGCTGTGGGAACATCAAAGGAAGGACACGCATCAGCTACGACTGGAGGGGGAGGATCATAGATTTCATAGAGGAGATGCCATTTGCATTGGATTTTAAAAGCTGGAAAGGATTTCACAAGATAGACCTTGCTTAGTAGGTTTATTATTGATTGAAGAACTCTCCCAAGCAAAGACCTTGAGTACTAACGAAAACAGGGTGGTGTGTGTGTTCGTTAATAGCCAGTCCCGTGGAGTCTTGTATTAGTCTGGGTACTTTAGAGAAACAAATCCATGTGCTTCTCATGTGTAAGAGAGAGTTTTATATAAAGATTAAGTGCGCATCAAGAAAACATCCCAACCCAGTGCTGCCCAAGCCCACAAGTCCAACATTAACCCATATGTCCAACACCAGTCCACAAAGTCCTCCACCATCTCACAAAGCAGATACAACAATGCTGACTGCAGGAGGAAAGCCGAGACAGTGAATGTGTAAGCATCTCAGCGCTCGCAGGGGACTCCACGTGGCTGCTCCAGCACCTAGGGCTGCATCGGGGTAGGTCCATGTGGCTTCTCCTTGGGGATGTCTTGCAGGAAGTCAGCCTTGCCAGCTGAAGCTGGGAACTGCTAAGGCAGCTGCACCCTGGTGCGACCATCACAAAGCAAAAGAGACCCGAGAACTAGAAAGGCGAGGCTCATCGAGCCATTTATCCCTCTGCCCTTCAATTAATCCCACATGTGTTTATCGACCAGATTGGCACAATAAACTAGCTGAAGTCTGGAGTAAAAGGTTCATGAAGAATGGAAACTGCCATTTTCTGGAGAGAGATTTGGACACCGTATGGAATACTCAGAATATCATGCTTCTGGATTTGGCTATTCTGAGGTATGCTGAATGGAAGGCATGACATAGCATATCTGCATTAAGAACTTGATTAAGCATTAAGCATATTGTAAGAAAGCACTTGAATGGCTGTAAAAAAAATGAAGTGGAAAATTTTAAAAGCAGGGTGACGAGCTGGAAGCCTGTTTTAATAGTGCAGTTGAGCGGTAATGAGAGCTAGAAACTGGGCAGTGCAGTAGGGATAGATTTTGGACATTAAGGATTGTTGGCATAACAAATATGGGAGATGAGAGAGGGAAAGTGGGCAGTGGTCGAAGAAGGATGGGTTTGGTGAGAGAAGTCCTCACCTGGATTTTAAACATTGTTAGGCTTGAGGTGCAGGGATCCATGTGGAAATGAGGGCTTGGAGTTCAGAAGATAGGTTGGGAATAGGAATAAAAATTTGGGTGTCATATACAGTGCCATTTATTCATTACACATTTATTTGTTGCCACTCAGATACTTACAGGGAAACTTGTATGGAAGCCCTTTAAGCTCATTCCAGGCGCTGTGCTAGGTGCTGGGAGGTGTATGAGTAAACAAAACAAGTATGTTCCTGCCCTCTTGGGTGAAGTTTATAATTTAGGGAGTATCCAGACCAAAAAAAGTATGCTCTGTAAAACAAAATAATTAGGAATTGTGATAAGTGCTATAAAGGAGGGAACATGGGAGTGCCTTCTGTGGATACGGCGGTCCTCAGAGCGTTTCCATAATGTGTGGGAAAGGGGCCAGAATGCATCACAGTGGTTCTTGCCAGCCAGGAGAAGGAGCTTGGATTTTGTCTAGATTCACTGGAAAACCATTGAAGGGTTTCAGCCAGGGGAGTAATATAATAGAGCTCACATTTTAAGATGATGTCCTTTACTGCTGTGAAGAGAATGTAAAGGAGGGAGGGAGGGGGGACGGTTGAAGCAGGGACTGTTTTAGGGTGAGGGTTGATGTGGCGGGAAGATAGAAGTGACTGACTTTCAGTCTCTTCAAACAGGACTGGAGATAATGGGGTGAAGGCAACAAAGTAATAAAAAGTGGCTTCTGTGTAGAGTGGGCGGTGGTCCTGTGTTGGGGGGTTATGGGTGAGATTGACTGGCAGGAGCTGGTGGGGAATGAGCTTGGGATAAAATCCCTTTTGACTATATTAAGCTTGAGATAATGGCGTTTAGATGTTAGAAGAGATGTCAAGTGGGCAATTGACTGTACACCTGTGCAGCTCAGAGAAAAGTCGGGGCTGTAGACATCACTCTTGGAGGCCCCAACAGTTAAAGCCATGCAACCGATGATGCGTTCACACTGTGGAAGTGTAGAAAAAACCCGGAAGGGCATTCCGAGGAACATTCGTGTTCAGTGGCTGAGTAGGGGAGTCATCAGGAGATAGAAGAATCCCCCATGCAGTGGGGTGAGAGGAGCATGCATCCTGAAAGTGGAGACAGTAAAACGCTTCAGGAAGGAGGCAGTGCTTCTGAGAGGCAATGCCAGAAAGAGCCCCTTGATGGCAAGCAGTCACTTGACTTCAGGAGAAGAGTGAGGGCAGCCCATCGGGTCAAGGAAACACTGGAGAACTTGGCTTCAGGAAGACTGGAAACCAGAGACACCCCAGGGCGAGACTACTGACTACGTTACTGAAAAGAATACGCCGACATATTTGCAATCCAAGCCTTATTAACTTCTTTTGGGATTCATAAACTAAGGGAAAGTATCTGAAAATATGGGTCGAAAACTAGTTTTCATTAAGTTGACTCCAACTCATAACGACTCGATAAAACAAAGCAGAACTGCTCGCGGAGGGCGGTTTCCAAGGCTGTCATTTCACGGAAGCAGACAGCCACATCTCTCTCTCCCAGATGTGATAAATAACCTGTATTGAAGGGTGCTTTATCGCTGTGCCACCAGGACTCCTCTAATATGGGTCAGCCTACTGCCATCCCATCAGTTCCGGCTCATATCGACCCTACAAGAGAGAGTGGGACTCCTCCTCGAGTTTCTGACACTTCACATTTTTACCAAAGCGGGCCGTCTCTTCCTCCATCAGGGCAGCTAGTGGATTTGAATTGCCAACCTTAGCTCAATGCCGCCATAGCTCCATCGGGAGAGAAAAGAGCACCTTAATTTATAGTCCTACCAAGAATGTCCAGTGGGGAAGGGTAGATTACCAAACAAAATGTGGATTTTTGCAAGAGTTCACGTGCAAAAACAAAGGTCATTGCAAAGGTCAACTAAGGTGAATCTAGCAAGTGCCTGTTTTGACACAATCCTTGGTGTCCTTTGAAAAGGGAGTTTTGGTGGAGTGATGAGCGATGAGCAAGTGGTGACAGCTCGTTTGGTCAGCTTGGCTCTGAAAGACACAAATAAATAAAGGACAGGAAATGGAGTGCTTCCGAAGATGCTGGGAAGAAAGGGCAAGCGGGATCAGTGCTAGGGCTTCTAAGGTGCATATGGTTCCCCAACCCTGCCTTCCAAACGTCTTTCAAAGTACTCACTTTAGCGTTAGAATTTAGTCAAATCGATATGCCAGATATGGAAAGGTGCCTCCTTTTCCTATTCCTATTGTCACCATTTTATAACAATTGACCCTACTCCCTAAAAATAGTTATTTTGAGTTTATGTAATTCACTACCATCAGAACTTTCTGTTTTGTTTTTTTAAAATGTTCCCACCTTGTTTATTTCTCCCCCCCCACCACCACCACCACCCTAGGCTCTCCCCACCTTGTTTATTTCTATACCGTGATTACCTAAAGTTAAAGCTGAGAAGCAGATTGGCCCATGGTCAAAGAGATTAATCACCCTGGTTGATATCATGTGCTCTATTTTAACCTTTATGATTGCTACCAGTTGGAAACATAATGCTTCTCAGTTTTATTCTCCTTTTTTTCTGAGTTTTCCCACCCCACCTCTTTCCCAAACTAGGTCAAGGTCAAAGAATTTTCTGCCTGTCTCAAGAAAGTGCATGATTTTGTGCCAGCCTGGCTGATAAACACAAGTGGGATTAACTGAAGGGCAGAGAGATAAATGGCTTGGTGAGCCTCGCCTTTCTTGTCTCTTGCTCTGTGATCATCAGACCAGTGTGCCTTGCTTGTTCTGTGCCTCAATTTAAAGGTTACACTACCTGTGGGACGCCTAGCCTGTGGACTGTATCGCTGTAAGTTGAGGTCCCTTTAAGACTTCTCTGGAGCTGGGGACTGGCAGTTGGTGACCTACCTTGTGATTGGCTGCTGTGCTGACATAGCCTAGCTCTCTCTACAAATAGAGGAAGATCTGGCAGCAGACTAGACTTGAAGGACTGCTAGTCTCTCACAAGTCTCTCGCGGACGTGAGTTGCATTGAGCCATTTGTAGTGCTTTATAATTTAACTGTTTCTTGTATTATATATTTGTCTGTGTATGATTTCACAGTTCATTTCTTGTTATAAATCTAATTATCTTTATAAATAAATATATTAAATTATCAGCAATTTGGTTTTATCTCTCTAGAGAACCCTGTCTAACACAGTGCAGTACGGCTATTTTGGGTCCTGTTTTCTAGGGTGGAATTACTGCTGGGTACAGGTTGGCACACTGGTCAGGCTGTTTCTTTCATGAGGCAGAGGAGTAAGAACCCTGGTCAGGGTGCTTTGTGGACTCCCCTGCTGCCTGGCAGTCAGGACTGAAGTCGGAGGCCGTTGCTGCTCTGTTCCTCATTTGCTTCCTTCCTGTATGTCCCATATAACAGGTGTTGCTTCTAGGCTACTTCTAGGGCAATGGCATCTCCATCGATTTCTATTAGTGTTCTTGAATTCTCCTTTGGAACTTGGGACTGAAGACTGGTGTATAAGAATTGTTGTGCATTTCGTTGCTTGTTAATGTCTAGTGTGTAGTATTTCCCCCTGTAAAACTCACAGGCAAGACTTGAGGACAGGATTCAAGTAATCTCAATTTCATCAAATCCCATTAATGAAAATTGTTTATTGTGTTTAATGTATATTGATACCTATGGCTTTTGTGGCTGATTCCCTGTTTAACACTTGTTAAATAAGTGCCTCAGATATTTGAAAATGTTCTCATAGTGTTTTCCAATGTGTGAGACAAACCCTTGCATAGGTTGTGGGGTGTATTTTTAGTGTTTTTTTTTTTTTTTTTCATTAAGAAAAAGAAAAATGGAAAAATCAAGAGTGCAATGAAATTAGTAAAGGCTAGTATTGTTTCATGAAGATACTTCATTTATTTGTATGTGTGTAAGGGGTGGATTGTTCTTGCCGTATGGAGTTTAATGTAGAATGCATTTCTTACTGTGGATTGTAGTTCTTTTTTTTTTTTAAAGAGAACCATTGTTCTTCAGGAAATTTGAACTCGGTAAAACAAAGCAGAGTTCTTAAGCAACCTCTTGTATATTAAGCATTTGGCAGATTTACTTGTTTCTTAAGCACTTTTATGTAGAACTTTGTTTCTAAAGATTTCTGTATTGCTATTGACTGATCCTGGGAGCTCTTGGTGGCACAATGATTAAGTGTTGGCTGCTAACCAAAGACCAGCAATTGGAACCCACTAGCCACTCCGTGGGGAAAAGATACAGCTGTCTGCTTCTGTAAAGACGGCCACCTTGAAACCCAACCATCCAGGCAGGTCTCCTGTGTCTTACACCCTGTCAGTCTAAATCTACTGAAGAGCAGTTGATTGGGTAAGGGAGATCCACTTTATTTTGCATCCAGATGAGTGTCCCAACTCAAACAACTCCCTGCCATTGAGTGCATTCCGACTCCTGGTGACCCTGAAAAACAGGGTAGAAGTGTCCCTGTGGGTTTCCAAGAGGGTAACTGTTGAGGGAAGAAAGCCTCATCTTTCTTCCTAGTGTCCTATGGCTGAGAAGATGACTTTGCCCAGGTTTCAACCAAAGCAGAGGTAGGAATATCATTGCTGATGTCAAATAGATTTTGGCTGAAAGCAGAGAATATCAGAAATTGGTTTACCTGTGTTTTTGACTATGCAAAGGCCTTGTGCTGTGTGGATGATAACAAGCTATAGATAACATTGA